GCTCGAACAAAGGAGAAACAGTGGACAGTTTCAATCTCCGACATACCCGATTGGCCAAGAATCGAAGCCGTTGATGAGTTTAGACTACGTTCCGGACACGATTGCTTGGCAAAACTCACAAATTGGGATTATACACTCAACCCACATGCCCTCCATGTAACGTGGGAGTATACACTCAACCCACATGCCCCCTATGTAACCTAAGGAGGAAATGGAGAAGACCCACCTGATTCGGTGTCTAGCGATCAACCCACATGCCCTCTATGTAACCTACAGGAGGAAATCTGGCGAAGCACCTTCACAGATTAGGAGTATACAATCAAAACACCTTCACAGATTGAGAGTATACACTCAACCCACATACTCTATGTAACCTACAGGAGGAAATGGAGAAGTCCCACCTGTCTATGTGACCTACAGGAGGAAACGGAGAAGACCCACCATATGTAACCTACATGAGGAAATGGAGAAGACCCATCTGATCTGTAACCTACAGGAGGAAATGGAGAAGACCCACCTGATGTGAAACCTACAGGAGGAAATGGAGAAGACCCATCTGATTCTTAATCTAAGAGAGTATACACTCAACCCACATGCCCTCTGTGTAACCTACATCAAAACACCTTCACAGATTGAGAGTATACACTCAACCCACATATACTCTATGTAACCTACAGGAGGAAATGGAGAAGTCCCACCTGTCTATGTGACCTACAGGAGGAAACGGAGAAGACCCACCATATGTAACCTACATGAGGAAATGGAGAAGACCCATCTGAGTGAAACCTACAGGAGGAAATGGAGAAGACCCATCTGATTCTCTACAGGAGAAAATGGAGAAGACCCACCTGATTCGGTGTTCAAAGGAGGAAATGGAGAAGACCCACCTGATTCGGTGTCTAGCGGAGGAAATGGTGATGACCCACCTGATTCGGTGTCCAGCTCTAAAGACAACGCAGACCCACCTGATTCGGTGTCCAGCTCTAAAGACAAGGACATGGAGTCTGATTGTGAAACCTACAGGAGGAAATGGAGAAGACCCATCTGATTCTTAATCTAAGAGAGTATACACTCAACCCACATGCCCTCTGTGTAACCTACAGGATCAAAACACCTTCACAGATTGAGAGTATACACTCAACCCACATATACTCTATGTAACCTACAGGAGGAAATGGAGAAGTCCCACCTGTCTATGTGACCTACAGGAGGAAACGGAGAAGACCCACCATATGTAACCTACATGAGGAAATGGAGAAGACCCATCTGATTGTGAAACCTACAGGAGGAAATGGAGAAGACCCATCTGATTCTCTACAGGAGAAAATGGAGAAGACCCACCTGATTCGGTGTTCAAAGGAGGAAATGGAGAAGACCCACCTGATTCGGTGTCTAGCCGGAGAAGACCCACCTGATTCGGTGTCCAGCCCTAGAGACAAGAAACCCACATGCCCTCTATGTAACCTACAGGAGAAAATGGATAAGACCCACCTGATTTGGTGTCCAGCCCTAAAGAAATGTACGGAAAGCCAAAGATACTGGGAAGCAAGAAGACAACTAATGAATTACTATTAATTAACTGCTATAAATATACCCCCCCCCCATGGGCTGTGTTAATAACCGCTATAAATGTACCCCCCCCCCCTCTTGGGGAAGCTGAAGTCAAAGATTAAGGCTATAAATGTACCCCCCCCCCCACCCTTGGGGGAAGATGAAGTCAAAGTTTTTCCGCTATTGATTAACTGCTATAAATGTACCCACCCTTCCTTGGGGGAAGCTGAAGTCAAAGTTAAATTGCGAATGATACCCCTCCACTATTAATTAACTGCTATAAATATACCCCCCCCCCTTCATGGGGGAAGCTGAATTCAAAGATTAAGGGCTAATGATAAATATCATTACCCATGGGGGAAGCTGAATTCAAAGATTAAGGGCTAATGATAAATATCATAAACCCAGCCATTTGAAATAAATAAATACTATAAAACAACTTAGATAAGTTAGATACAGTTGACCTGACTATTTAAATCAACTTGAGTAATCACCAAATTGTAATTCAAATAAACTATGAACTAAACGGTGCAGAAGATAATTAATATTTTTTCGTTGGAATACCACTGAATTAACGAGGACTCTGTCACAAAGTTTCAATTTTCTTCCGCATTACCAATTGCCTCATTTTTAATCGATTATGAGAAAGAGACTCATAAAAATGTGCATGTACAAGTAGATGTGATTAAATGAAAGGGGTGGTTGCTTCCGCAAATTTCATAAATGATTTTTCATTGAAATTCGGCAACATTTGTGTTAAATTCATTGTTGTAAAATGAAGGTGAAAAATTCAAGATTTATGAATTAACATTAATAGGACAGATGAACCTGCCCTCATACTTCTGTCGACCTAACGTTAGTTTTTAAAGGTAACTGCCATTCATTTTTTTATTCATTTCATATCTCAATACATAATACTATTAATTATGGTATTTTTTTCAAAATAAATTTTAATCAGCACGCCGTTCATAAAATACAATTTATATTGCAATCGGCAGTAATTTGTGATTTTCATAATAAGATAGAAATGATAGTAATTAAGCTTAAACCTAATCTAAAAATATTAAAAATGTGATAAGCTGATGCAAATTGTAAACTTTATATCATTCCTTCATTAAACAATTTATGTCGGTGTAGTTCAATCAATCACATTATGCAAGTAATGACAAAAACTTTGAGTTACTTGATATGTAAGGAATGCGTATATATATATATATATATATTTCAAATGGCAGGCGTTATGGTAGGTATCATTAGCCCTATAGTTGACTTCGGGCTTCACAGAAAGGAAGAGGAACTTCAAAGTGATAAAAAGTCGAGAGGAAAGGGGAAAAGAATAATGATTCACAGACGTTAAAGAGACAGACAGACACAAAGGTAGAAAAAAAGGTGAGGTGAGTACTGTGAAATTAGTCGAATATGAAAAAATGTGGGGCCGCAAAGGGCTGCAATTCAGAAAGTGGGTAGAATCAGATTAATTAGTTGAAAGGACTAAATAGAAGAGCCCCAAATTTTCAAACACTTGCAAACAAATTATTAGCATACAATTGCCTTTTGTTTTAAAGTACGTAAATGTCCATCATGGAGTAGATTTCACCGAATTGCCCTATAGAACATGTACGTGAATCATTACAATACCAAATGACGAAACAGAACCCCTAATATTTATTGAGAGGGGTTTGTAATAGACTTACCTCCACGTGGTACAACCTGGGCAACGTATACTCATACGGTAAAAAGTCTATAAACCGGAATTTGACTTCTGACTTCCAACTAGTATAACTCCATTGTTTGTCATATTCGACTACTTCCACAGTAATTATCTCACCTTTTTCCTACCTTTTCTACATTCGTCTTTGAAACACTCTTCTGCCTCCCACCCCGTCTTGACTTTTTTCACTTTGATGTTTCTTCCCTTCTGTGAAGCCTGAAGTCAATTAAAGGGCTAATGAAAACCATCAAAACGCCTTCTATTTGATATAAATAAATATTTATTGAGAAAGGAAAGAATTTTTCAAATTTGAGATTTAATGAAACATTCATTATGTTACCGATTCTCAGAAACCCTTTGGAGAAATGAATGGCAACCTTTTAAATAATTTGTGGCAAATTCCAGTTGTTTTAGCCAGAAGACGTTGATCAGTGAAAACCTGATTTAGATATCCCTGTGATGTATTTCCATGTGCATTATGCATTATGAATCCCAAATAACCATGTAGGCACTCTGCTAATGTTTTCCTTTGTGTACTTTGTGAAGCTAATCTAAGACTACCATGCAGGTTGCGTAACTATTACAATAAACGAAGTTACAAAACTCTAAGAAGTGCGTCAAATATGATTCATGTACACATGCATTACGCAATTTATCCCTTGTTGTGAATGTGAACCTGTTTAACCAAATTATCTACATAAGGCCAGAATCGTTCATTAAATGAAGGCTATAAAACTTCAATTATTTTCTTGATTGGTGTCCCTTTTTAAAATTAATTTAGAAAGTTTTACGCGTCAAGCAAAATTGCAGTTTGCCTGATTTGAAGTAAACAGTTCTGCTAAGATTAATCTGTCAATAAAACGAAATAAATACGCAAAACTTGTACGTGTGATTTTCCGTTTCATTAACGATATAAAAATTATACATTAATATCATTTCGTACAGATTGAAGAAGCCAAATGCAATGTTACGACAACAAAAAATGAATGATATATCATCTGATGATACTATAAATTAACTTAGGTAAGTTAGATACAATTGCCTTGACTGTTTAAATTAACTTGAGTAATACCAAATTGTAATTCAAATGGAACTATGCATTAAACGGTGCAGAAGATAATTAATATTTTTTCCTTAGAATACCACTGAATTAACAAGGACTCTGTCACAAAGGTTCAATTTTCTTCCACATTACCAAAAGCAGCAGTTTTAATCTATTAAGGGGAAGGTGACTCATAAAAATGTGCATGTACAAGTAGATATAATTAAATGAAAGAGATGGTTTCGCTTGTGCCGATTTCATAAATGATTTTTCATTGAAATTCGGCAATATTTGTGTGCATAGATAAATTATTTAGTTATATTTTGGCACCAACTACTTAATAAACGCGTCTGCATACTTAGCGACACTAAGCAATCTATAAAGAAAATGAAATGCTGATATCAATCATAATCAAAAAAGTGGTTGAATGCAAATAGATTTTCGAATTTTACATATAATTGACAATTAATATGTAAAACGAACTCTATATGTATATTTCATGACTATTATTTAATTGGCAATCAATGAAACAACATCTTTAATTTGCTCGATGTCTGAGAACAGCAAAAAAGGGACTTAAATTCACACAGATGAAAACTTGATCTGTTCTCTTTACTATCTTGCCCCACTGATGAAAAATAATGGGAAATTCTTTCCATTAACAGATCTTTTCATATTGAAGAATTTTTCCAGTTTAATGAAAATTGTGCGGCATGAGGATTGCAAAAAAATATCAGTGGGACTATTGAAGTTTTTGACCAACCACCATCTTCGACTTCTGTTATGCAATTACGTGCACAATTTGTAACTCAGCCTTCAATCTCATGCCACAATATTGTCATTTTTTATATAGAGAGGGTGCCGTTTATTCCATTAACATTGTCGAGGAATTCTCTCACATCTCGGAATTCTGACTCTGGCGCGATGATGGAGTGTGATTGGTTGGTAAGAAATAGAACTTAACATGTTACTACTTTCATTACGATATTTTTGCCAACCTTTTGATCGCGAGGACTAGTTGGCAATTCATACAATATGGGAAATGGAGACTATTATCTGCTAGTTTTAAAGAAAACGCAATATCAAATATTTTCAAATTCTCTGAATAAATGAAGTTATTTGCAAATTATATGATCAGCCCTCAGCCCGATTCAAATTCATTTGATCAAAGCTTTAAATTCCATTTATCTTAAAATTATTGGATAGTTTGGTGATTATTGTTGCAAATTAGAAAATGACAGCTGTCATTAATTGCATTCGCACAACAGGTGAGCATGTGTCTTTGTGTAATAGCCCAGAACACTGGTCATGGATATCGAACAAGTTTTGATAAAAAGGTCTAATCTTGTATGATTGTGACAGGGAACCATTTCGGAGATTTGAATGGTTAATTATTTTCACTATTTAGAAGAAAAAAAACTTCACATCTTTTTAATAACGCATTGCGTCCTTGCTGAATTTGATTTGAGTTTCATAGGCTGTTAAATTCCCTCCACAAACAATTATATCATAAAATTAGGGCTTATGCAATTTACAAACTGTTGGATAAACATATGTTTATACAAAATTTTAGCGATTATTTATTTATTTATTTCAAATGTCAGGCTTTACAAAATTTATCATTAGCCCTTAAACTTTGACTTCAGCTTCTCAAAAGGGTAAAGTGGTACATTTATAGCAATTGATTAAAAGCAATTCATTAGCTGTCTTTTTGCTTCCCAGTAAGTCTGGCTTTTTCTCGTTGTCTTTAGGACTGGACATCGAATCAGGTG